GCAGAGCGCTGGAAGTAAAGTGCTGCGTGACCGAATTAGTGACAAGTTTGAGACAGAGAACATCGGCTGCATCCGGTGCACAAGCAAGTCTTGGGAGGAGGCGAGATTTGAAGGATTGATATTGCAGTAAGCTATGTATATGCATGCATTCGAAGGAGTGACATGGTGATATGCTGGAGTAGCTGTTCGACACGAAAAACCATGATATTCATGCATTCCTGCAGGATAGATAATGAGATTCGAGGGCTGGGAAGCACCGACTGCTTGATTGGACCGAGGCATGAGGCTGTTCGTCTCCATCACGCATCCGAGGCCAGTGGATCTGTGATGAGGTCGAACAGCCCTGTGTCTTGGGCGTCTAATTGATGTGCAATTTGCCAGAGCAATAGATCCACAAACCCTCAAAAGTCCACCTCGACAGCTTCTAACACCATCAAGCTCCAGTAAAATGTCGAAACATATTCCAGCCACTACACTCCTGCGAGAGTTCAAAGGCCATGAAAGTGGCGTAATGGCAGTCGCAGTGTTCCCCGATAGACGACGGATGGTTACGGGCTCAGATGACAGCACGCTTCGTCTGTGGATTTGAAGAAAGGTGTTGTGTTGAAGAAGATGAAGGGGCATCGCAGCAGGGTGTGGAGATTGGCAGTATCACGAGATGGGCAATTGATAGCAAGCGGTGATACTGGAGGATACCTCATCGCATGGCATGGAGAAACTGGAAAATCGCTCACTCAACCCATCAAAGCCCACTCCGATTGGATCTACTCTCTGGACTTTACTCCTGATGGAACAATGCTGGTCACTGGTTCAGCAGACAAAACGACGAAACTGTGGAACACCCAAACCTGGGAGCAACAAGGAAATACATTTGAGTGTGGAGATTATGTCCTCTGCGTACGGTATTCGCCGTCTGGAAAACTTATGGCCATCGCTTGAACAGGTAACAATATCCAAGTTTATGATACAGGCACAAGGAAACGCGTCGCATCCTTCAAGGCTCACAGAACCCAATTTCGCGGCACTCGCATGGACGCCCGATGGCACACGCCTTCTTACAAGCGGCGATAATTCTGATCCTACCATACGCGAATGGGATACATTGACCTGGCAGCAGGTTGGTGATCCATGGACGGTCCATACTGGCTATATCTCTGCCCTTGCTGTTAATCCTGCTGGCACACTCGTCGCCTCTTCATCTGATGACCAACATGTCCGTCTTTGGCGGCTCTCAGATCGACAAATTGTTGCCACCTTCAAGCACTCATCCTCGCCGGAATGTGTCACTTTCTCGGTGGACGGCAAGCACATCCTCAGAGGAGGTGAAGATAAGACAATCTCGGAGTGAGCATTGGCAGTACTTCAGGGTATTGATCCAAAGGTAGGTTTCCGTCCTTGACTGATACTACAAATCGAGCATTTTTTCGCAGATACTAGCCATTAAAACAGCTCGTGATGCATGCATATATGGTGACTTATCTACCGCTGAAGGACTACTCACACAAGATATCAGCACCAATGCGAACTATACTTCCTACGCCCATGGCTCATTCGCTATGTCCCGAAAACACGACTGGGACCATGCCCTTCAGGATGCAATCAAGGTGGCATATACCCACTGATCATGGCTCCCGTACGAAAGATTAACTCAATGATAACATAGTCCATCAGTATTCAGCCCTCATCGATAGGCTATATCTCCAAGGGAATCACCCTCTGCGGAACGGGCCACATCCGGGGCAGCATTTGATGTTGCATTCATGTACACTAATCAAGATCCACGAACCGTCCATTTCCTGCTCTTGATCAAGGTATGTTACAGTTGCCTCGCATACTCTCTGCTTTATTCCGTATTCCAGTCCATCACGCTGTTCAATGCAGATCAACATGACGAGGCAAACCTGCTCCTTATGGAACTTGCTGCCGGTTGTCCAAATGCCGATACTCGCGCATGTCATATCGTGGAAGTAAGCATCATGTAGCCACACCGGGTATCAACGCTAAGATTCTTTCCAACTCGCACATCAGGCATATCTACGTGTTCAACTCGGAATCAAAGCATTAGATGGCGCACGTCACGCAGAAGCCACTGACTATTTCACTGCCGCTTTCAACTCCAGTGCTTTCTGATCGAGATCACCCATTCATTTCATATACGAGGACTTAGTGGTGGTGCTTTAATATACATTCGAAGTGCTTTTCATAACTGAGTCCCTCATCCAGCTCTTCGGCTGGGACCTCAAATCTTTCTGGTTGACTGCACACCAGAAACGGTGTGATGCACTCCTTCGGGCAGATAAACTTCAAGATGCCGTGAAATCATACCAATACATGATGGTTTCGAGTGACGAAAACGCTAAGACCGACTACCTCGACTGGTCAAATGGCAGGTCTAGAGTCCGCAGTGTCACGCAGGTTACAATCCTCACCTGCATATCTCTAGATTTCAAGCAAGAATGCAGCGCACTTTGCGCTGTCAATGGAGATACTGCCCTCACTGCGAGCGAGTATGACAGGGCTATTGATCTATACTCCGCGGCAATCGACCTGGATTATACATCCGATGTCATCTTTGCAAATCGCAGCAAGGCAAAGTTAGGTAAAATGTTATGGGAGGACGCGCTCCTCGACGCGTCGAAGGTGCGATGGCGTCTATGTTTTCGTAGCCCATGTTGACCTCGGCGATGCACAGGTCACCGAACTCAATCCTTCGTCTCACGTTGGATACCAGTTGACACATACAGCGCTGCGTGGCGCGCAACGTTACGAAGAAGCCACCGAGGCCTTCAAAATCATGTTGTCTAAGTTGGACGATGCTCCCGATGCGCAGATACGAGGTAAGCCCAGAACGTTCCTGCATAATCTCGAAATGCCTATCTTGTTCAGTAGAGCTGCGTCAGCAGTATGTCTCTGTATCTGAAGCTGAAAACACTATTCAAAAAGCTGTTTGGATCGAACTCGACAAGGTCCCCCATCGTCTGCTCAACACCTCGACAGGTCTTCTGTGGGATAGAACGGCACAAATTAATACCTTCAAAACGAGTCCAGAGTACAATGAGCTTGTCTCATTTCCAATGAGAGATTCAAACCTCCGAATATAGTACATCAAAGACGTAGTGGCGACGTACTTCCGCTGCGTCCTGCTATCACACAGGTGGGAAGAGACGGAGGCGCTGCTGCACGACATCCAGGACAAAGTCGTGTACGAGTTGAATGGACTTGGTGGCATTGCGAAACTGCAGTCGTTCTGCAAAATCGCTTGTGATGCTGGGTATCACTGGACATGGATGGACACATGCTGCATCGACAAGAGGAGCAATACCGAGGTTCAAGAATCGGTCAACTCCATATTCGTCTGGTACTGCCACTCAGCGCTTACCATCGTCTACCTATGCGACTCCCTCCTTCATCCCAGTCCGGTGCACTGGCGAGGAGTGTTTGGAACAAGCGAGGATGGACCTTTCAAGAATTCGTCGCTTCGAAAGTTGTCATCTTTTATCAGAAGGATTGATCGTTGTATCTTGGTGATCACTCTCCCAACCATAAAGATTCCCCTGCAATCATGGAGGAGTTGGAGGATGCGACGCGCATAGATACACGGGCCTTGGTGTCCTTCCGTCCAGGTATGAGCGGTGCCCGAGAGAAACTGCAATGGGCATCGAAGCGCGTCACCACAGTGCAGGAAGACGTTGCGTACTCATTATTTGGCATCTTTGGCATCACCCTACCTGTTATTTGTGGCGAGAAAAAGCAGAACGCGCTCGGGCGGCTCTTGCAGGAGATCGTGGCTCGATCGGGTGACATCACTGTCCTTGACTGGATCGGAAAACCCTCCGAGTTCAATAGCTGTCTTCCAGCACATATCATCTCTTACACCACCTCCACGCACCCTTTCATCTTTGTCTGAAGATCATATTCACACCCAAATCTCTTTGGTGCGACAAACCATGCCTACAGATCTAACATTGAATTTTTATGACCAGCTTGAACAGCTGAGAGCTCCTCGCTTCGCAAACTGAAGACTTCATCTGCCTTGCATCTCATTCCGTGTCACGGGAGTTAGACGGAGGCGCGGTCTAGCCCCCATTACGTATGGAATCAAAGCAGACGGACTTCACGACCTGCTGATCACCACTGAAGAGACCCTAGTTCAGTTTTCGCAGGCAAAGCCAGTTCGGCAGACGTTCTTACTTGTCCGCCCATGGGATCGTTATCTCCTCGGGATACCTGTCTTTGCAGAGGAGCCTGACTTCACAGCCGATATGGAGAGCATAGGAGATTGGACCGAGCCAGGGTCCTTGACGGACCACTCCCAGATGGACGACTCTGACGAGTTACTTGGCAATTTGCCTGTTGAAGAGCAGCCTGGCTCACGAGCGTTGCGGTTGATGGTTCGCCTCGGACGGCTGTCGACGCATTTCTGCTAGCGCAGCAGCGTGTCGGAGAATACAAGAGGATCGCGTCGGACCATAACATCGTTGCACAAATCAAAGACATTGCTTCCATTGATAACATGGGCATCGGTACCGTAGAAATGCTCTAGTTACATTTTAAGGGGAGGCATCTCTGACCGATATTTGTTTGTGCTTTAACAATAATGTCCGTATTGTTACTATGTAGATGTATGCAAAGATACCCTACACCCTCCTTCGAAGCACACCCATCCATTAAGCAGTACTCCTCAGTCATATAAGTCCCGCCATCCCGCGCCAAGTTGCTTTGCAGATTCATGACCAACTCCTAGAGTTTGATTCGTTCAAAGGCCCCGGATTGACGTTCCATTTCTACTTGGTTTCGTGCGACAGTACTCGCTTCGATTGAGGTAGGAACCCATATCTTGCTGGCAGCTCGGGTTGTGGTGGAAGAGCAGCGGAAGTAATAAGATTGAGGTGTTAAGCGCCAGACATTGATAGATTGATCAAGCACATCTGATCAAGGAGTCCCTCCATCCGAGTTGGACGAAAGCACAGCTTGATCAGATATACTCGTCTTCCTCCTTAATGCCTCCCCGTGATCTCGCCGCACTCTTGCTATACCCAGCAACGCATGCACAAGTGCTGGAGACGCGCGAGCGTACATGGCCTCACTGGGGCGGTAGCACCACACTTGAGCAGTACCTCCAATGTTGCGAGCGTATGGACGAAATGGAACACACGCGAGATGGAAGAATAATGACCTGGTATGAACCTTGGCATTGAGATTGGTCACATTTATCTGACAATCGTTTGGTAAAGGGTACTTGCGCCAAGAGACCCCACGACGCTTGATTTTATGTGTGCGTGCGAGACGTAAGCCAACTAGGTCTGAACAGTGGCAATCCGGGTCGTGCTAACTGTAACCCAGGTACAAGCGCACAGGACTCGTCGCCTATCCTTCCCCAGATGGCCCCAACAAAGTAAATGAAACGCCGTGCTATGGAATCGCCAGCGCATATATACCCGAGGCGAAGCGGAGGAAAGGATACGAGCAGCATCGGATGTGCCTGTTGCACTGGGTGATCTCGTCCTGTGATGATTTTGTCGAGTTTCCAAAGGAGTGGGGTGTGCCGCCACCAAAAGTGGACGGTGCGGGTGGAGCTGCGTTTTCGGTATTATACAGTGCGGTGGGGGAAGACTTTTACGGGAATGCGGGGGTACAAGCAGAGGATAAGGCCGGTGGGTGGCGGGTGAGGGCGCCGTGATCTTGGGCATGGGAGGTTAGAGGTCAGATGGAAAAAGTTCCGGGGAGGGTTGAGGAGTCACCCGGGTGGAAGTGGGTGGAGGAGGGAGATTTGGACGAGATGTGGAGGGAAGACGCAGGATTCATCAAGAATAGCTTGGAGGGCACACCGAGGTCTGATCCCTCGTATGAGACGCCGAGTCCCACGGCATTTGTATCGGCTCTGCCAGACAGGGGTGTCGGTTCGTTCCAGGTAGTGCGCTCGCTACTCGTATCTGGGCATGCGGTCCCGTTGAAAGTGTGGGGAATAAGAAAGGAAAACATTGGTGATGAGAGGCGGGCGACGTATGCAACGTGGGCCGCGAATGTGGTCTACGCCGACGCTGATTATGACATGCCTGGTTGCGACGAGGGAAACGTTTCCGGAGCTGCTTGAAAATATTAAAGAAGCAGCTCAGAGCGCAGGCCTAGAAAAGGTGGAGGTATGGAACTTGCCAAGGTACTTGGATGGTCTAGCAGAGGGAGAGGGAAATGAGGACGGGAAGAAGTACGAACCAACACGTGGGTTGCCAGTGATTAAATGGTACAGGGGTAGAGGGGAGACGCGAGATGTCGAATGGTCTTTCAATGAAAGGTATGTACTAGTCTTCCTTCGTTTCATCGTCAGACTGATATATGGAACGGGGTCTGCTGGTGCTGAAGTATAACGTTAGATCCTCTATATAGTTTATATATGCTATACTTGTCAGTTTGTTCATCCCATTTCCATGTCGCAAGTCCAGAAGTAGCGGGTTCTCCTCTTCTTCAAATTCTGCATAATTCCAACAGAGATACACAGGCTCGCCCCATGTCATTTATTGAGGGCCTCTGTATATCCTCGGCTGCCCCGGTCTGCGGTTTGTTTAGGTAGACAGAAGTGACGGCCATTCGAGAATCATTACAAATCAATTAAAGATAGATCACGCAGCGCCTGACATATGATAATCGGGGTGAGAGCTTTGGTGAAAAAATTGGTGAACCTCACTTGGTCTTTCGGCGGTCCAGGGATAGGGACTATTAATTCCATGGCAGATGACATTCCAAAACACCCGCGATGAACGCAGTGCTCAGTAGCATCTGCGGTGAGGAATCGCCGAAGTTAGCGACCGTGTACTGATACTTGTGCAGTGCGGGATTCCAATGATGATGGACTTAGGAGGGCATCGGCGAATGAAAAAAAACTGAAACCAGTTGGGCCAGGAGTGGGAGTGGGAGAAGCTCAAAGTAGAGTTGAATAATGAGCAGAGCGCTGGAAGCAAAGTACTCCTCAGTCACAGAATTGGTGTTTGAGACGCCGGAAGAGATAACTTTGGCTGCATCCGGGTGATATTGCGGTAGGCTGTATGCATGCGTTCGAAGGAGTGACATGGTGAGTGCTAGAGTAGCTGCTCGACACGAAAAACAACGATATTCATGTGATCATGCAGGATAAATAGTTGGATTCGAGTGCCGGGAAGCACCGACTGCTCGATTGGATGCGATGGGATACATTTCTGGAAGCTTTGAAGACAAGAGTCGGGCGCATGTATGTACTGAGGTACGGGGAGGATATACTGAGGGTATACTGTTGCGGACGGCTGGTATGGCAATGGTGGTGGAGGCATGGAAACGAACGGCAAGTGTCCTGGGCGTCTGTTGGAACGAGATGACGGGTGGATGCAGTGACGTATAATTTAAACCGCAAAATACCAAAATCGACCTCCGTGCCCAATGCTATCAACCTCCAGTAAAATGTCGAAGCTCGTTCCAGTCACTACACCCCTGCGAAAGTTCAAAGCCCATGAAAAAGACATAATGGCAGTCGCAGTATTCCCCGATAAACGACGGATGGTTACGGGCTCGGAGGACAAGACGGTTCGTCTGTGGGATTTACAGACAGGTGTTGTGTTGAAGAATATGAAGGGGCATCGCAGTGAGGTGTGGGCGTTGGCCGTATCACGGAATGGGCAATTGATAGCAAGCGGTGATCTGAACGGAGAGGTCATCATCTGGCACGGAGAAACTGGAGAATCGCTCACTCAACTCATCAAAGCCCACTCCCATTATATTACCTCACTAGATTTTTCTCCAGATGGAACAGTACTGGCCACGGGTTCATATGCATATGATGGAATGATGAAACTGTGGAATACCCAAACCTGGGAGCAACGAGGAAATCCAATCAGGTGTGGTCCACATGTCTTTTGCGTACGGTATTCGCCGTCTGGAGAACTTCTTGCCATCGCAACATACGACAATATCCAAATTTATAACCCAGGCATGGCTCCGAGGCAACGCGTTGCATCCTTCAAGGCTCACACATCGCGCAACTTGTCACTCGCGTGGACGCCCGATGGCACACGCCTTCTCACAGGCGGCAATAAGGACGATCCTACCATACGCGAATGGGATGCATTGACCTGGCAGCAGGTCGGTGATCCCTGGACGGGTCATACTGGCTATATCTCTGCTCTTGCTGTTAATCCTGCTGGCACACTCATCGCCTCCGCATCTGATGACCAACATGTCCGTCTCTGGCGGCTCTCAGATCGACAAACTGTCGCCATCTTCGAGCACTCATCCCTCACGGAATGCATCACATTCTCGGTGGATGGCAAACACATCTTCAGCGGAGGTCAAGATAAGATAATCTCGAAGTGGGCACTGGCAGTATCTCAGGGCATTCATCCAAAGGCACGTTTCTGTCCTCGACTCCTATACAAAAATTCGAGCATGTTTCCTGCAGATCCTATCCATCACGACAGCCCGCGTGGCATGCATAAATGGAGACTTATCTACCGCTGAAGGACTACTCACACAAGATGTCAGCACCGATGCGAACAACCATACTTCCTACGCCCATCGCTCGTTTGTTATGGCTCGAAGATACAACTGGGACCATGCCCTTCAGGATGCAATAAAGGTGAGCTATATTACGCACTGATCAAAACCGTCTTGCAATAGCCTAACTTGATGGTGACATAGTCCATCCGCATTCAGCCCTCATTGACAGGCTATATCTCTAAGGGAATCGCCCTCTGCGGAAAAGGCCATGTCCGGGATGCGAGGGCAGCATTTGATGTTGCATTCATGTACACTAATCAAGACCCAGAAGCCATTCATTTCCTACTCTTGATCAAGGTATGTTACAGTTGCCTCGCATACTCTCCGCTTCATCACATGTTTCAGGCGATTGCCCTCTTCAATGCGGATCGAGATGATGAGGCAGACTTGCTCCTCAAAGAACTCACCGCCGGTTGTCCGAATGCCGATACTCTCGCGTGTCGTGTCGTGCAAGTAAGTGTCATCCACGCCTGATCATCAACGCTTATCTTTGCAACTCACACTTTAGGCATATCTGCGTGTTCAACTTGGAATAAAAGCCTTGGATGACGCACGTCATGACGAAGCTGCTGACCATTTCACTGTCGCTCTCAACTCCAGCAATCTATCATCGAGATCGGACATTCATGAGAGATACGAAGACTTGGTGGTGGTATGTTAATACACATCCGAAATGCTTTTTATAGCTGAGTCCCTCGTCCAGCTCTTTGGCTGGGATCTCAAATCGTTGTGGCTCACTGCACACCAGAAACGGTGTGATGCACTCCTTCGGGCAGGTAAGCTTCAAGATGCCGTGAAATCGTACCGATACATGATGGTTTCGAGTGACGAATATACAAAGGCCAACTGCCTTGACTGGTCCAATGGCAAGTCCGAAGTCCGTAATATTGCGCAGGCTACAATCCTTACCCCCATTTCACTCAGCTTTTATGAAAGAATGCAGTGCACCCTTCCTTATCAGCGGAGATGCTGCCCTCGCTGCAAGCGATTTTGACAGGGCTATTGACCTATACTCTGCGGTGATCAACCTAACTTCTTCATCCGATGCTGCCTTTGCAAAGCGCAGTAAGGCAAAGCTGGGAAAAGGGCTATGGATGGAAGGACTTCTCGATGCGCAGAAGGTGCGATGACATTTATGGTTTCTTCACCTATGCTCATTGTGGTGATACACAGGTCATCCAACTCAACCCTTCGTCCCATGTTGGATACAAGTTGAAGCATGCAGCATTTCATGGCGCACAACGCTATGATGAAGCTATTGCGGCCTTCCAAACGATGCTGTTGAAACTGGATAATACTCTTGACACAGAGACACGAAGTAAGCACTGATACCTCGTACACCAACATACTTTAACTGTTTCTGCAGAGTTGCGCCAGCAGTATCTCAATCCATCTGAAGCAGACTGTGCTATTCAAAAGCTCATCGATGCTCAATTTGAGAATGCTCCGATGTGTGTATTCGACACCACCACCGGTATCTTATGCGATCGAGAGGCGCAGATCTGCATCTTTAAAGCCAGCCTAGAGTATAAGGAGCTCGTATCAAAAATTATCGCCCATCCAGACCTCCAAACGCAACACGTCGAGGAAGTGGTGGGAACATATTTCCGGTATGCTATGCTATCGCACAGGTGGGAAGGCAGGGAGCCGCTGTTGGGGGATGTCCAGGGCAAGGTCGTCTATAAGTTGGATCCGGTTGGCGGCATTACGAAATTGCAGTCCTTCTGCAAAACTGCTCGTGATTTGAGGTATCGCTGGGCATGGAGCGATACATGCTGTATTGACAAGAACAACGATGTTGAGCTCCAGGCATCGGTCAAGTCCATGTTCGCCTGGTATCACCACTCTGCGCTCACAGTTGTATACCTTTCGGATGTTCCACCTTCGTCAAAGTCTGGCGCACTGGCAAAGAGTGCCTGGAACACACGGGGATGGACGGTTCAAGAATTCCTTGCTCCCAAAGTCATTCTCTTCTATCAGAAGGATTGGACTCTTTATCTCGACGATCGCACTCCCAACCACAAGGATTCCGTTGCAATCATGCAGGAATTGGAGTATGCGACGGGCATAGATCGACTAGCCGTCATAGCATTCCGTCCCGGGATGAGAGACGCCAGAGAGAAACTTCAGTGGGCGTCGACACGTATTACCACATTGCAAGAAGATATCGCATACTCGTTATCCGGCGTTTTTGGCGTCCGCCTACGTGTTGATTATGGCGAGAAGAAGCAGTACGCACTCGGGCGACTCCTGCAGGAAATCGTAGCTCAGTCAGGCGATATTACTGCCCTGGACTGGGTCGGAAAGTCATCAGAGTTTAATAGCTGTCTACCAGCTGACATCACTTCATACGAAACTCCACCGTGCGTGCTGCGACCTCTATCCGAAGATGAGATTCAGACATCAATCTCCTCGCTGCGAGGTGTTGTGGCTCTAGAGTCGGCTTTGAAATTGTATCAAACACTTGACCACCTGAGCGCTCCCCGTTTCGCGCACCGCCGGTTGCATCTGCCTTCCATCGTATTCCCAATCACAGAAGCAAGGCGGACACCAGGACGAGACCAGGATACATATACGTATGCACTCAAGTCAGACGGGCTTCATGACCTGCAGATCACCATGGCAGACAAGTTGATCCCATTCTCGCCCGCAAGGCCGGCGCCTGTCTGGCAGACAATCTTGCTTGTCCGTCCATGGAGTCGCGATCTCCTTGAGTTGCATGACCCTGTGGACGATACACACAGCGTAGAAGATTGGTCCATGCCCGAATCTCCGTCGCATGATTCACTCCCTGTACAAACTGAGCCGATTCATTCAGATTCTCACTCGCTAGCATTGCGATTGATTGTCCGCCTTGGACAACCTTTTGGTGCGTTTTTGCTAGCGCGGCAGCGCAACGGAGAATTCAAGAGGATCGCGTCGGATCATGATATCATTGCACAAGTCAAAGACATGACTTCTGTTGACAGCATGACGGACATCAGGACACTAGAGATAGTGTAGCTGTATAGAATCTCTTAAAGATCTCCAAGCGGTTTTCGTTTGTACCTTGACGATCAAACATGTGTATTCTATCCCGGGCAAGCCCACTTGGCAGATGTTCCTACTTGTCCGTCCATGGGATCAGTATCTCCTCGGGGTACCTGACTTTGCAGAGCAGCCTGACCTCGCAGACGATACGGAGAGCATAGGAGATTGGACCGAGCCCGAGTCCTTGATGGACGACTCTGACAAGTTACCCGGCAGTTCGCCTGTTGAAGAGGAGCTTGGCTCACGAGCGTTGCAGTTGATGGGTTCACCTCGGATACCCTTTCGACGCATTTTTGCTAGAGTAGCAGCCTTTCAGAGAATACAAGAGGATCGCGTCGGACCATTGCATCGTTGCACAAGTCAAAGACATGGCTTCCATTGATAACATGGACGTCGGTATAGGCATCTCTGGCTAATTTTCATTCGTGCTTTGACAATAATATCCGTATTGTTTCTATGTAGATGCATGCACAGATGTTCCATGCCCACCTTCGAAGCAGACTTATCCATTACCAGGCAATACTTCTCAGTCCTATATGCACCGCCATCCCGCGCCAAATTACTTTGCAGATTCACGACCACCCCCTAAGGTTTGATTCGTTCAAAGGCCCCGGATTGACATTCCCTTTCTTGTTGGCTTGGTGCAACAGTACTCGCGTCGACCAAGGCAAGAACGCATATCTTGCTGGCAGCTCGGGTTGTAACTTGTCGTGGAAGAGCCAGCGGAAGTAATAAGATCGAGGTGATAGGCGCCAGACACTAATAGATTGATCAGGTAATCTGATCAAGGATTCCCGCCGTCCGGGTTGGACGAAGCACAGCTTGATTAAATATACTCATCTTCCTCCTTGATGCCTCCCCATGATCTCGCCGCACTCTCGCTATACCCGGCAACGCCTGCACAAGTGCTGGAGACGCGCGAGCGTACATGGCCGCACTGGGGCGGTAGCACCACACTTGAGCAATACCTCCAATATTACAAGCGTATGGACGAAATGGAACACGCGCGAGATGGAAGGATGATTACCTGGTATGAACCTTGGTATTGAGACTGGTCACATTTATCTTACAATCGTTTGGTAAAGGGTACTTGCGCCAAGAGGCGACCCCATGACGCTTGATTTTATGTGTGCGTGTGAGACGTAAGCCAATTGGATCTAAATGGCAATCCGGGTCGTGCTAACTGTAACCCAGGTACAAGCGCACAGGACTCGTCGCATATCCTTCCCCAGATGGCCCCAACAAAGTAAACGAAGTGCCATGCTATGGGATCGCTAGCGTGTACACACCCGAGGCGAAGAGGAGGAAAGGATATGGGCAGCATATGATGCGCCTGTTGCATTGGGTGATCTCGTCCTGTGATGATTTTGTCGAGTTTCCAAAGGAGTGGGGTGTGCCGCCACCCAAAGTGGACGGTGCGGGTGGAGCTGCGTTTTCGGTATTATACAGTGCGGTGGGAGAAGACTTTTACGGGGATGCGGGGGTACAAGCAGAGGGTAAGGCTGGTGGGTGGCAGGTGAGGGCGCCATGGTCTTGGGCATGGGAGGTCAGAGGTCAGATGGAGAAAGTTCCGGGGAGGGTTGAGGAGTCACCCGGGTGGAAGTGGGTGGAGGAGGGAGATTTGGACGAGATGTGGAGGGAAGACGCAGGATTCATCAAGAATAGCTTGGAGGGCACACCGAGGTCTGATCCCTCGTATGAGACGCCGAGTCCCACGGCATTTGTATCGGCTCTGCCAGACAGGGGTGTCGGTTCGTTCCAGGTAGTGCGCTCGCTACTCGTATCTGGGCATGCGGTCCCGTTGAAAGTATGGGGAATAAGAAAGGAAAACATTGGTGATGAGAGGCGGGCGACGTATGCAACGTGGGCTGCGAATATGTGGTCTACGCCGACGTTGATTGTGACACGCCTGGCTGCGACGAGGGAAACGTTTCCGGAGCTACTTAAGAAGATTAAAGAAGCAGCTCAGAGCGCAGGCCTAGAAAAGGTGGAGATATGGAACTTGCCAAGGGACTTGGATGGTCTAGCAGAGGGAGAGGGAAATGAGGACGGGAAGAAGTACGAACGAACACGTGGATTGTCAATGATTAAATGGTATGGTAGAGGGGAGACACGAGATGTCGAATGGTCTTTCAATGAAAGGTACCCGCTAATCTCTCTTCGTTTCATTGCCAGACTGATACATGGAACAGGTTTTGCTGGTGCTAAGATACGTAGTATAACATTGGATCTTCCATATATGATATAGCTGATGCTCATATATGCTATACTTGTCAGTCTGTTTATCCCATTTCCTTGTCAACCCGTCATCCAAGTCCAGAAGTAGATACACAGGCTCACCCCATGTCATTTATTGAGGTCCTCTATATATTCTCACCGCCGCCCGGTCAAAGGTAGACAGAAGTGACGATCGGTATACATGTTATATGAGAACCATAAACATTGTTGATGTTGCGCTTTGACCTTCTCACATCTCCCTTTAGAAATTTGACATCTGTGTTCCTTTAATCCCGTTGTAGCTGCTTGACGATTATTGGTGTACTTTGGAGGAACGTAAACCTCACCTTAAATCTCATTACCAAGAACACCGTCGACGAAAGTGTTCGAAATATTGCATGGTGTTTGATGATCACTGGAGGGTTTCAACAAATTGCAACCATGGGATATACCGCCATGACGTAGTTATAAGATCGAGGAAATAAAGTCGGCAAGCCCAGAACAACCTGCAACTACTTCCATTAGCTTATTTACATTGTGAGCCTGAGAAGGGACAACCATCGTGCACCCATTGACGAGATGGTCGTGCAGCATGTCCCCTTTGACTGTCAATATATGAGATGGAACTTCATCTTGGGGCGGCTTCTGTTGTTTTCCCGTCACATTGCCGCTGAGTGTGATAAAAATCCGGCAACGAGTTTTTTTGCTCATTTGAGTCATTTTACACTCACAACGATCTCGCGTATGTGGAACGGGTCAAATCGAGACAGAAGATGATCACTGAAATACAGCGACCATTTATACAGCCGGTACAATTAGGAGATCGTGCAGGCGAATCCGAGTCTTTTGCTCTTCCTTGGGTAATCTGTTTGAATGGATAATGTCGTATCAGAGAACAGTACGAAGATTGCTTTCGTGACGATTGTGACATCTATCCTGGATGGACGGAAACATTGTGGAGGCACTCGCCCAGAAACTCGATATGACAAGGTTTAGGAACTGGGGTTGGGGGTAAGAGGATAAGATAGGGTCGGGATGGCAGCGATGGCGGGGGTTATATTGTTGTTCCCGGTGGTTGTGGTACGTGCGAGGAGATTTCGAGGCCCAAGGACTGGGCTACAAGTAGGCTCGTAACAATATTTCTAGAACAGAGCTGTGGAGTGTACGCGGGCGCTAAGAGGCTTTGGGGTAGGCTCTATCACTCTACAGCCAGATCATCCATCGTCTCATCTTCATTAACATGCACTAATTCTCATTCACGAAGAATATAGTGCATGACATTCGAAAATCATTATGAGTCAATTAAAGATCGATCATGCAGCGCTGACGCATAATAATCAGGGTGAGAGCTTTGGTAAACGAACTGGCGTGAGCCTCACTTGGTCCCTCGTCAGTCCAGAGATATGGCCAATTGGTTCCATGGTGGATGGCATTCCAAAGCGCCTGCGATGACAGTCCTTTGAGCGCAGTGCTCAATGATAGCTACGGTGAGGGTTAGCCGAGGTTGGCGACCATGTTGCACTGGTATTTGGGTGGTGCGGGATCTCAATGCTGATGGCCTCGGGAGGGGACAGGCGAATGAGGGAACTGAAATCGGTTGGGCCGGGAGTGGGGGAAGCTCAAAGTAGAGATGGATCACGAGCAGAGTGCTGGAAGCAAGGCGCTCCTCTGTGATGAGTCTGAGATGCCAAAAGAGAGAATTTGGACTGCATCCAGTGCACAAGCAGGTCTTGGGTGGAGGCAAGATGAAGGGGTGATATTGCAGTAAGCTATATGCATGCGTTCGAAGAAGTGATATGGCGGTGTGCTGATGTAGCTGCTCGACACGAAAAACAACGATATTCATGCAGTCATGCAAGATATATAGTCGGATTCTGGCACCCGGAAGCACTGATTGTCTGATTGGATGCGGTGGGATACACTCTCAAAGATTTAAAGACAAGAGTCGGATACATGTATGCACTGAGGCGCTGGGAGCTGAAAAACAATATGAGGGATGCTCATTGCCATTGCTCAACGTTTAGCGTGTGTTTGGCTCCCTTACGACTTGCAAACGACAACGACATTGCAGAATTGAGTATCCATAATAGGGTACATTCTTGCCATAATGGTGATGGAAGTGCGGAGGCGAACAGCCTGGTTGGAAACGAGGCAGATTAATGGAGTGAAGCAGCATAAAACGCATAATACACGCACCTCTGCAGCTTAGAGCAAGACACTCAAGATCCCTTCAAAGTCAACCTCAACGCCATCAACCTCCAGTAAAATGTCGACGCTCATTCCAATCACTACACCCCTGCGAGAGTTCAAAGGCCACGAAAAGGGCGTAATGGCAGTCACAGTGTTCCCCGACAGACGAAGGATGGTTACGGGCTCGGACGACAAGACGCTTCGTCTATGGGATTTGAAAACATGTGTTATGTTGAAGAAGATGGAGGGGCATCGTAATAGGGTGTGGGCATTGGCTGTATCACGAGATGGGAAATTGATAGCAAGCGGTGATACTGGAGGAGAGGTCATCGCCTGGCACGGAGAAACTGGAGAATCGCTCACCCAACCCATCAAAGCCCACTCCAATTATATCTACTCACTAAATTTTTCTCCCGATGGAGCAGTGCTTGCCACTGCAAGCTCATGGGACAACACGACGAAATTGTGGAACACCAAAACCTGGAAGCGGCGAGGAAAGCCAATCAAGTGTGGTAGTCATGTCTACTACATTCGTTATTCGCCGTCTGGAGAACTTCTTGCCATCGCAACAAACACTAATATCCAAATTTATAATCCACGCACGAGCAAACACGTCGCATCCTTCAAGGGTCATACATCATTGAACTTGTCACTCGCGTGGACGCCCGATGGCACACGCCTTCTCACAGGTGGCTATAGGTCTGATCCTACCATACGTGAATGGGATACAACAACCTGGCAGCAGGTCGGTGGTCCCTGGACAGGTCACACTGAATCTATCCATGCCATTGCCATCAATCCTGCTGGTACACTCGTCGCATCCACATCTGATGAAAATCATGTCCGTCTCTGGCGGTTCTCAGATCGACAAACCGTTGCCATATTCCAGCACTCATCCTGGGCGGAACCTGTCACTTTCTGCATGGATGGCAACCACATCCTCACCGGCGGTGGCGATAACATGATCTCAGAGTGGACAGTACCCAACAACATCAATTCAAAGGCACGTTTCCGTCCTTGATTCATATATTGCAGTTCGAACATGCTTCATGCAGATTCTCGCCATCACAATAGCCCACGATGCATGTATAGATGGAGACTTATCTACCGCTGAAGAACTACTCACACAAGATATCAACATTGATGCAAATAACCATGCTTTGTATGCCCGTCGCTCAAAGGCATGTTTCCGTCCTTGACTCATATACCATAAATTTAAGCATGCTTCATGCAGATTCTCGCCATCACAACATCCTCCAATGCATGCATAAATGGAGACTTGTCGACTGCCGAGGAACTACTCACGCAAGAGATCGACGCAGATCCCAACAACTATACTTCCCACGCCCATCGTTCATTCGTGATGGCGCGAAAACACAACTGGGACCGCGCCCTTCAGGATGCAATTAAGGTGAGCCATACGGACTGATCACAGCCCCCTTACAACAGGCTAACTCGATGTTGGCACAGTCCATCAGCATTCAGCCCTCATTGACAGGCTATATCTCCAAGGGAATCGCCCTCTGCGGAAAAGGCCATGTCCGGGATGCGAGGGCAGCATTTGATGTTGCATCCATGTACACTAACCAAGATTCGGAAACTATTCATGGTCTGCTCTTAATCAAGGTATGTTGCGGTTGCCTTGCACACTCTCTGCTTCATACTGTATTTCAGTCAATCGCGCTCTTCAATGCAGATCAACATGATGAGGCAAACCTGCTTCTCAGAGAACTCGCTGCCGGTTGTCCGAGTGCCGATACTCACGCATGTCATATCGTAGAAGTAAGCATCATGCAACCACGCTGAGTCACACTAACCTTTGCAACCTCAGGCATATCTACGTGTTCAACTCGGTATCAATGCCTTGGATGGTGCTCGTCACGATGAAGCCGCTGACCATTTCACTGCTGCTCTCAACTCCAGCAATCTATCATTGAAATTGGACATTCGTGAAATATACGAGGACTTAGTGGTGGTACGTCAACACGCATTCGAAATGCTTTTCATAATTGAGTTCCTTGTCCAGCTCTTCGGCTGGAATCTCAAATCGTTGTGGCTCACTGCACACCAGAAACGGTGTGATGCACTCCTTCGAGCAGGTAAACTTCAAGATGCCGTAAAGTCATACCAGTACGTGATGATTTCGAGTGACGAAAATACCAAGGCCGACTTCCTTGACTGGTCCAATGGCAAGTCTGGAGTTCGTAATGTTGTGCAAGTTACGATCCTCACCTACATTTCTTTCAGATTTCAAGCAAGAATGCAGTGCATTCTGTGCTGCCAACGGAGATACAGCCCTCACTGCGAGCGAGTATGACAGGGCTATCGACCTCTACTCGGCGGCAATCGACCTGACTTCTCAACCCGATGCTATCTTTGCAAATCGTAGTAGGGCAAAGTTAGGTAAAATGCTATGGGAGGATGCGCTCCTCGACGCGCAAAAGGTGTGATGGCGTCTACATTTTCGTAGTCCATGTTGACATTGGTGATGTATAGGTCACCAAACTCAATCCTTCGTCTCATGTTGGATACCAGTTGATGCACGCAGCGCTTCGTGGTGCGCAACGTTATGACGAAGCCATCGAGGCCTTCACAATCATGTTGTCCAAGTTGGACAATGCTCCCAAAGCGCAGATACGAGGTAAGCCGTGGAACACTCCTGCATCGCCTTGAAATGTCTATCTCTTCTGCAGATCTGCGTCAGCAATATGTCTGTCTATCCGAAGCAGAAGATGCTATTCAAAGAGCTGTTTGGATTGAACTCGAATATGTCCCGCTACGTCTTCTTAACACTTCCACGGGTCTTTTGTGTGATAGAGCGGCACAAATACACACTTTCAAAACGAGTGCAAAGTACAAGGAGCTTTTGTCGTTCATAACAAAGCATTCAGATCTCCTAACGGAGCGCATCAAAGACGTAGTGGCGACTTACTTCCGCTGTGTCCTGCTATCGCACAGGTGGGAAGAGACGGAGGCGCTGCTGCACGACATCCAGGACAAAGTCGTGTACGAGTTGAATGGACTTGGTGGCATCGCAAAACTGCAGTCGTTCTGCAAAATCGCTCGTGATGCTGGGTATTGCTGGGCATGGATGGACACATGCTGCATCGACAAGAGAAGCAATACTGAGCTTCAAGAATCAGTCAACTCCATGTTCGTCTGGTACCGTCACTCAGCACTTACCATCGTCTATCTATCCGATGTCCCTCCTTCATCCCAACCTGGTGCACTGACGGAGAGTGTTTGGAATAAGCGAGGATGGACCTTTCAAGAATTTGTCGCTCCGAAAGTTGTTGTTTTTTATCAGAAGGATTGGTCGTTATATCTCGGCGATCGGTCTCCCAACCACAAAGAATCCCCCACGATCATGAAGGAGTTGGAGAATGCAACGGGCATAGATTCACGGCCCTGATCTCCTTCCGTCCAGGGATGAGCGACGCACGACGGAGACTTCAATGGGCATCATCGCGCGTCACTACATTGCAAGAAGACATCGCATACTCATTGTTTGGTATCTTCGGTGTCCACCTACCTGTAATCTACGGCGAGAAAAAGCAGAACGCGCTCGGGCGGCTCCTGCAAGAGATCGTGGCTCGATCGGGCGACATCACTGTCCTCGACTGGATCGGACAACGTTCCGAGTTCAACAGCTGTCTTCCGGCCTATATTACCTCTTACACCACTTTGCCACGTACCCTTCCATCTTTGTCAGAAGATCAGATTCAGATAGCTATCTCTTCGCTCCGAAAAAATCCTGTGGCTATGGATTTGGCTTCAAAACTTTACAACCAGCTTGATAACACGAGCGCTGCTCGTTTTGCAAACTGCAGGCTACATCTGCCTTGCATCGCATTCCATGTCACAGAAGTCAGTTTAAGCCACGGTGAATCCCAGGAGACTCGATATGAAATCAAGGCAGACGGGCTTCATGACCTGCTGATCACAACTAAAGAGCCGATTGTTCAGTTCTCACGGACAAGACTCACTCAACAACCCTTATTGCTTGTCCGTCCCTGGGATCGGTCTCTCCTCGAGCTACCAGACTTCGCAGATCTGCGTGACGTTGGGGACGATGCGGAGAACGAGGTAGGTTATTGGACGCCGCCTTTTTCTCTGTCAAAGGACTCACGTAGCGGTTCTATTGTAAAGCAGGAGGCGGTTGATTTAGAATCACGAGCATTGCGGTTGCTTGTTCGCCTTGAGCAGCCTTTCGGGGCATTTTTGCTAGCGCGACAGCGCGGCGGAGAATATGAGAGGGTCGCGTCGGACCGTGATATCATCGCACAGGTCAAAGATGTGGCTTCTGTTCCAGACCTGATAGATATCAGGACGATAGAAATACTGTAGATGCGTATTTTCCCCCGAAGATCAGGGATCTGAACGCCCTTCGTTGGTATTTCGTATATGTGATGCTATGTGCACTGGACTTTAGTTTCCTCTCAAAGTAGACCATGAATACCTATCTGCACCATTTCTCCATTCGATACCACTAGACTAATGCTCCTTCATGCTCATTACACCTACCTGCATGGGTGCTCAGGTTTAAGAGTCTCGTTACTTCGCTATGCACCGCCCTCTCATGGGTAGCACCCGGGTATGACCCGGGTCAACCCATGTCAGGCCCTATTGATTCATGTGCTCATGCAGGATAAATAAAATGAGATAGTCAGATCCGAGCGCTGAGAGGTACCGCCTGCTCAATTGGATGCGTGGAGGCGAACAGCCTTGTGACCAGGGCGTCTATTGAGACGAGATTGGTTGACGCAGTGAAACAGCATAAAACGCACAGTACACATAACTCCGCAGCTTGGAGCAAGGAATCCAGAATCCCCCCACAGTCTACCCCTCACGCCCAATGCTATCAACCTCAGTAAAATGTCGAAGCTCATTCCAATCACCACACCCATGCGAGAGTTCAAAGGCCATGAAGGAATAATGGCAGTCGCAGTGTTCCCCGATAAACGACGGGTGGTTACCGGATCATTAGACAAGACGCTTCGTCTGTGGGACTTGAAGACAGGTGTTATGTTGAAGAAAATGGAGGGCATAGCAATGGGGTGGTGGGACTGGTGGTATCATGAGATGGGCAATTGATAGCAAGCGGTGATGCTGGCAGAGAGGTCACCGTCTGGCACGGAGAAACCGGTGAATTCCTCATCCAAGCTATCAAAGCCCACTCCCGTTTGAGCACATCGCTGGATTTTTCTCCTGATGGAACAGTATTGACCACTGGTTCATTTACTAAAACGATGAAACTGTAGAACACCAAAACCTGGGAGCAGCTAGGAGATCCAATTGGGTGTAGTAGTCGTGTCCGCTGTATTCGATATTCGTAGTTTGGAGGACTTCTCCCCACAGGAGGGTAGGAGTCTGTGCCAGAGATAGTACCGTAGCGGGAAAAAAATAGATCGGATAAACTCGGAACAGGCAAGGTGAATGTCGGCAATGCCGACTCCTAGTGAAGGATGTAATAGTCAGGAACCTAGATCTGGACACTGGGCCAGTGTGCAATTCATCACTTACAGCAGACTTGGAGTATGTACACCTTATAATCCCTCTACCTCTACTGCATCTTCACCCCCATCTTCCGAAAAGGCTCCAACATATACAGACACTAATTAACAGAACGGTGGTTTTCTTCTCTACCTTTATCATGGGCAACACAATTGGTCGAAGGGAGTACTACTAGGCGAAGAAGTGATGTATTTTGGGAAGTGTGAGTAGTATATTTCCCTTATTTCAATCATTGTTTCTCTTTCTTGCGTTCCGCTAGCAGCTGATGCCATTCGAGTCTTTGCAACATAGTCGTCCAATTCACCGCGTTTGGATTTGCACACCTACCCGTATCCCCTCCCTACTCCCTTTCCCCACTTTGCTTTCCGACGTAACACGTCCATGATGAAATACCAACTCACTCCACCCTTCCCAGATTGGCATACTCGCCGTACAATGGGGCTTGAGCTCGACCCCAGATGTGTGAGTCGCCTTTTGTCCATCTGCATTCTTTCTTGCAATACTATTACTCTTGACTACTTTTTGACCAGCTATAGACAAGCGCTTTACATCTTCCATTAGTGTTGATCTGATCTCTCCGCAGCCATACATTATCATCTACCATATGTTCCCATATACATGCTCTGGTCACCCCCATTGTGTGCATTCAGCACCCTACCAACCAACACAGAGTTATTCACTTGTGTCCACCCCCGCACCCTGCTTAGTTTAACTGCGAAAGACGGTATGGAACAGTAGTTTGGGATGAGAGTGAGGCAAGTAGTGTCTCTTGCCTGTTCAACCTGGCGCATCGCTGATTTTGTTGATCCTCCCCGCCGCATATTTGCATGGTTCTAACAAACATCAACCCCTGCGCCTGCTACTCTTCTCCCCATAGTTTCACTCGGTCTCATTATCCACTGACAATGGAGGACAATGTGAAGTCGAACTCAAACAGTGACTCAGCGCATTGATATGTTTGATGCATATACCCACCATGGGGCTTCAAGCTTTACCTCTCATCTTTGCAGCCTCATTCGTCCTTGCCATCTCCTGATCTCGAGTGAAACATGACACAAACTGATGCGCCTTGTATTGTCTCATGATCTTCATGACCTCGTCCAGACTCTCGATATGGGGAGGTTCGGGAGTTGAGAGAAACAGGACGAGAGAGGCGTGATGTTGTTCCTAGTGGTTGGTTTATATGCGGGTGGTATTGACGAGGAGTCGACAAGCAAGGTAAAGCCATTTTCTCCATCATTTTGGTATCTTGAGGAAGACGCACCTTTCAAATGTTTGGCTATGCAGAATTTGATTTTAGAAAATTACCCCAAATGCACTTACTTTCTCGTCAAGACCTAGTGTGATCACAACCGTACGAGTGAGCTTGAAGTGATTCTCTAGCATGAATTTAGTCGCAGTTGTAATGAAGAACCCGAGGACATGAGCGTGAGCTCGGGAATAGAACTACAGGGAACTGTTCATTTGGATGCGACGGCATACATTCTAGAGGCCGTGGAGACAAGAGTCGGACGCATCGAAGTCTATGCACTGAGAATATACGGCAGGTATGACAGCAGGGTGCCTTACGATGATGGAGGCGTGGAGGTAAACAGCCTCAAGTGCCCTGGGCGTCTATTGAAATGAGACAAGTAAATGCCATATCTTGAACTACAAAATACACGTACCTCTGGAGCTGAGAGAAGGTCACCTACAATCCCTCCAGAGTCCACCTCAACCACGCTCACACCATCAACCTTCAGTAAAATGTCGCAGCTCTTTCCGATCACCACACCCTTGCAAGTGTTCAAAGGCCATGACAAAAGCGTATGGGCAATTGTAGTGCTCCCCGATAAACGACGAATGGTTACGGGCTCGAAGGACAAGACGCTTCGTCTGTGGGACTTGAATACAGGTGTCATGTTGAAAAAGATGCAAGGGCATAGTAGCAGGGTGTGGGCATTAGCGGTATCACGAGATGGGCAATTGATAGCAAGCGGTGACGAGAACGGAAAGGTCATCATCTGGCACGGAGAAACTGGTGAATCACTCACCCAACTCACCAAAGCCCACCCCTATGGGGTCTACTCGCTAGATTTTTCTCCTGATGGAACAGTGCTGGCCACTGGTTCACATGACAAAACAACGAAACTGTGGACTCGGAATGCCACAACCTGGCAGTTGCAAGGAGATCCAATAAAGTGTAATAGTTATGTCTACTGCGTACGGTATTCGCCGTCGGGCGAACTTCTTGCCATCGCAACAACCACCAATACCCAAATTTATAATCTAACCACGAGGGAGTGCACCTTCAAAGCTTACACATCCAACTACTCACTCGCATGGACACCGGATGGCACACGCCTTCTTACAGGCGGCTATAAGTCTGATCCTACCATACGCGAATGGGATACAACAACCTGCCAGCAGGTCGGTGATTCCTGGATGGGCCACTCTGACAACATCCATTCCATTGCCATCAATCCTGCTGGTACACTCGTCGCATCAGCATCTTATGACAACCATGTCCGTCTCTGGCAGCTCTCAGAACGACGAACCGTTGCCATCTTCAAGCACTCACATGCGACGTTATGCGCCACTTTCTCCGTGGACGGCAAGCACATCCTCGGCGGAGGTGACGATAAGATGATCTCAGAGTGGGCAATACCCAACGACGTCAATTCGAAGGTACGTTTCCGTCCTTGGCTTGTGACATGCCACAATTCGAACATGTTTCGTGTAGATCGCAGGCATCACGACAGCCCGCATTGCATGCATAGCTGGAGACTTACCTACCACTGAAGGACCACTCATGCAAGACATCAACACCGATGCGAACAGTGACCATACTTCCTCCTCCCATCACTCAAAGGCATGTTCCCGTCCTTGATTCATATACTACAGTTCGAGCGTGCTTCATACAGATTCTCGCCATCACAACAGCCCGCGATGCATGCATAGCTGGAGACTTGTCTACCGCCGAGGAACTACTTACGGAAGAGATAAAGACAGATGCCAACAACTATACTTCCTACGCACATCGCTCATTCGTGATGGCGCGAAAACACAAGTGGGACCGCGCCCTTCAGGACGCAATCAAGGTGAGTTATGTGCACTGATCATGGCCCCCTTACAAAGGCTGACTTGATGTTGACAAGTCCATCAGCATTCAGCCCTCATTGATAGGTTATATCTCTAAGGGTATTGCCCTGTGCGGCAAAGGCCAGATCCGGGATGCTAGAGCAGCATTTGATGTTGCATTCATGTACACTAACCAAGATTCACAAACAGTTCATTTCCTGCTCTTGATCAAGGTATGCTATAGCGGCCTTGCATACTCTGTCTCATTGCATATTTCAGTCCATCGCGCTGTTCAATGCAAATCAAGATGATGAGGCAAAGCTGCTACTCAAAGAACTCGTTGCCGGCTGTCCGAATGCCGATACTCACGCGTGTTATATTGTGGAAGTAGGTATCATGCAGTCACGCTGGGTCGTCAACACTGATCTTTGCAACTCGCACATTAGGCATATCTACGTGTTCAACTCGGAATCAAAGCCTTGGACGGTGCATGTCACAACGAAGCCGCTGACCATTTCACTGCCGCTCTCAACTCCAGCGCTTTCGCATCAAGATCACCCATTCATTTTATGTACGAGGACTTGGTCGTGGTGCGTTAAAATGATGCATACATATTTTCCTAATTGAATGTCTTGTCCAGCTCTTTGGTTGGGACCTGAAGTCCTTGTGGCAAAAGGCACACCAAAAACGGTGCGATGCACTCCTTCGGGTAGGTAAGCTCCAAGATGCCGTGGAATCATACCGATACATGGTGGATACGAGTGATGATATCACAAAGGCCGACTGCCTTGAATGGCTCAACGGCAAGTCTGGAGTTCATAATATCGCGCAGGCTACGATTCTCACCAACATTCCACTCAGCTTTCAAGCAAGACTGCATCGCGCTTTTTCTTACCAACGGAGATGCTGCCATCGCTGCACGCAATTACGACAGGGCTATTGACCTATACTCGGCGGCGATCGACCTGGATTATACATCCGATGTCATCTTTGCAAATCGCAGCAAGGCAAATTTGGAGAAAAGGCTGTGGATGGAAGCACTTCTTGACGCGCAGAAGGTGCGATGGCACCTACTCGGGTCATCTCGTAACTAATAGTTGACTGTGGCAATACACAGGTCATCCAACTCAACCCTTTGTCTCATGTTGGATACAAGTTGGAACATGCAGCATTTCATGGCGCACAACTCTATGATGAAGCTATTGCAGCCTTCCAAACGATGCTCTTAAAATTGGATAATTCTCTCGACATTGAGATACGGAGTAAGCCCCAATACCTCATACGTGGACATGCTGTAACTGCTTCTGCAGAGTTGCGCCAGCAGTATCTCAGTCCAATGGAAGTAGACCGTGCTATTCGAAAAGTCATCGATGCTCAACTTGACAATGCTCCGCTGCGTGTACTCGACACCACCACCGGTCTCTTATGCGATCGGGAGACGCAGATCCGCATCTTCAAAACGAGCCTAGAGTACATGGAACTTGTATCAACAATAATCGCCCATCCAGACCTCCGAATGAACCACGTCCAAGAAGTGGTGAGGACGTACTTCCAATATGCCATGCTATCGCACAGGTGGGAAGGAAAGGAGCCACTGTTGCAGGATATACAGGGCAAGGAGGTCCATAAGTTGGATCCGGTTGGCGGCATCAAGAAGTTGCAGTCCTTCTGCAAGGCTGCTCGTGATTTGGGGTATCGCTGGGCATGGAGCGATACATGCTGTATTGACAAGACCAATGATGTCGAGCTCCAAGCATCGGTCAAGTCCATGTTCGTCTGGTATCACCACTCCGCGCTCACAGTCGTATACCTTTCGGATGTTCCGCCTTTGTCAAAGTCTGGCGCACTGGGAAAGAGTGCTTGGAACACACGGGGATGGACGGTTCAAGAATTCCTTGCTCCCAAAGTCATTCTCTTCTATCAGAAGGATTGGAATCTTTATCTCGATGATCGCACTCCCAACCACAAGGAATCCGTTGCGATCATGCAAGAATTGGAGGACGCAACTGGCATAGATCGACGAGCCGTCATGAACTTCCATCCTGGGACGAGAGGCGCCCGAGAGAAACTGCAGTGGGCGTCGACACGTAGTACCACATTGCAAGAAGACATCGCATACTCGTTATTCGGCGTCTTTGGCGTCCGCCTACATGTTGATTATGGCGAGAAGAAGCATAATGCACTCGGGCGGCTCCTGCAGAAAATTGTAACACAGTCAGGCGATATTACTGCCCTGGACTGGGTCGGAGAATCATCAAAGTTCAACAGTTGTCTTCCTGCCGACATTATCTCATATGCAGCCCCACCATACGCCCAACTATCTTTGCCTGAAGATGAAATCCAGATGGCGGTCTCTTTGCTGCGAGAAAATCCCGTGGCTGTGGATTTGGCTTCGAGACTTCATGACCAGCTTGATCACATGAGCGCTGCTCGTTTTGAGGACCACCGGTTACATTTGCCTTGCATCGTATTCCCTGTCACACAAGCCATGCTGAGGCCCTGCCGAGACCAGGATGCATACGTGTATGCAGTCAAATCAGACGGGCTTCGTGACCTGCAGATCACCACAACAGACAAGTTCACCCCATTCTCGCCTGTAAGGCCGATGCCCGCCTGGCGGAAAGTCTTGATTGTTCGTCCATGGAGTCGTGATCTCCTCGAGTTGCATGATCCTACAGACGATACACGGAGCGTG